GAATGTCATATTCGTAATCAGGATGTTGAACTACCCCTATATACAAGTTTTTAGCGGATTTGGTGACTTAGGCAATTTAAAAATGAGCTCGGTGCCGAAATTGCTGGAGTCCAAACGGCTGCGGACCCCAGGACCAGAATCCACGGGGGTAACTGTATAGCTCGCGCAGCTAAGAGGCTAGATTCGCGATTACGAACTCAGCCTCACTATTGGAGCCTGGAGCATGAAAAACAGCGTGATCCTCTTAAGAGTAAGGAAACTCTGTGAATTGAATTGCTTTGTAAATCACTTACCAGCAGCATAGTAATGGAAAGATACGTGAGCTGGTATATCCACAGAAAAACCTATGGATATGACAAGAGCAGCCATAACAATGGGATCAAGTTCTGTTCCGGTCCATGATAACGTGCCGAGAATTCCTGAATGGACGACAGAGAAGTTAGTGCGGATACAAGAAATGATCCCCGAAGCTGGTAGGAAAAGAAATATCACAAAGTCCCCCGCACCTGTCATTATACTTGCAATCACTGCCGTTGTGATAACAACCGTGTATGGATCCCACATAAAGATCATGCACACGATAGCCATGCAGCAGATGGTGGCTACACCAGACTGAATCACGAAACTTTTGTGAAACCCTACGACTAAGGATACTGCCATAATTTGGGCTGGTCAATATTGGACGCGCGCGGTCGCGTCGCAGCTTCTCACTGTTAGCCTCCCATTTCTCAACAAAACACCGCAACGCTCGAGATAGGATTGATAGAAGAACCACACCATCGTTCCCTAGCGTGTTTGAATTTTGAAAAATAAGGTGCAGTTCGTTCAGGTCGAAGTACCAAATGGCACTTGACGGAGCTTATACAGGCTCACTTCTACCATTTCGCAGCTTTAGAAGACTTTCGCAGGTCTCATCAAAGCTAGTGAGTTGACATGAGCTAAAAAAAGGAACTTGGCGACTAACAAAAGGATTAGGCGCCAATCTGGTGCGGATTAGCGACCCGCACCACAAAGCCGCCTGAATGAGCTAACCGCTTCACAACCGCGCGCGCCGTTGACCTGCAGTTTCTCGTTGCACATGAAGATAACAGCATCAAAGTCAGTAATTTTATGCTGAAAGGTTGCCTACCTGCCAAGTGTCTGTTGGCATGTTTTCAATCAAATCCAGATAAATAGCGTCGTCATAAAACACGGTGGTATTGAACTCGGACCTATGCAAGAAGTTGTACCCATGGCGACACGTGGACCCTCAAGTGAACGACTTACCGATATTTATCCGCAACAGAACGCCATTGCTTCAATATTGTGTCCCTTCTAAACCACTCTCGGAAGTTCCTGTCCGCGATAAGCCGTGGTGAAGAAGAACCGTTCCAGTTCTCTGAAGCAGTATGATAAGTCGCAGCTCTTTCCACAGGAAGGTCAGGCAGAATGAGGTTCAGAGAGATGTGTAATCGTATTTGCTGCCCGACGCTGGGATCTCTCGGGAGGGGTTGGGTTTGGTGCAGCACAAGCCCGTTTTCCTGTCGCATGCCCGCTTCAACCGTTGGCAGGGAAGGGGAAATGGGCTGGCGCCGTGTCAACCTCCCCCTGACACGCCTTAGCGCCAACTCCGAAAAAGACTGCAGCATGCTTGCTTCCTGCCCAATACAATTTTATGCCAGGAGCGATTGCATGACGGAAGCTTACCGGAACGACTGCTCAACCTCTTTCGGTGAAAAGCTTTAGCGGACAAATGCTCTGTGAAAGGACAAGAAAACCTACGTGGAGTTCTCTTTGAATCGCAGAAAACCTCTCCAGTACTTGTACTCGGGCCATTCGAGGAACGATGCCAAATCCTTCGTGTTCAAAGTATTCGGATCTGGAAGAGCTATTTTTACACTCTCACATACAACTGCTTCTATTCATCAGCTTCGAGACTTTTGAATCTGAACTATTTTTGACATATTCACGCCGGCCGAGATCCATTTGGGAGCAAGCGGAAGCGCTGTGGCGATGGAACGGGGATGACAGCTAATAGTGGTAGTAGCGAGGCTCGAACAGAAGTGCCAAGATGTCAAGAAAGTCAGTAGCGTGGGAGAACCCCCTTAGCCAGTACATTCGAACAAG